TCCTAGAAGACTATGATAAGGTTTGTCACTGTTTCTTGATGTCTTGTTAAAAAGTATTTATGAACTTTGAATGGGTTTGCTAGAGGTCCTCTAAAAATATCGATGTCCAGGCACCCAAGAATTTTAGAATTGCAGTTCTGTGGAGTATTTCTGGTCTTTAATTTATTAGCTGAGATACAGACATGTAAGACATGTTCAGTTGTCCTGTTATAAAGAAGCTGTAGATGAAGTTGTCTGATCCTTACTTTCCCAGTAAGGAAACTGGTTTGCTGTCCTGGCTTCAAAAAGAATTGTAGCTGGATTTTTTTAACCATTTGTTTGAATACTACTATACAGAGCAGAATGACAGCTCAGAAAAAATCCACATGGAGTTTTCTGCGCGAACTGTGAGGGCAGCTTCTTTATCTCTTCTTTCTTGAGGGAAGAAAACGTTGCTCCGTTTTACTGCTGATGTAATTATAAAAGTTGAGATGGATGTAGCAAACTCCTTTTAAAGAACTTACTTGATTGTTATAGAAATACAGGAATTCTTGCAGCAGAACCAACCACAATTCTGTCTGTCTGCCACTGTCTCACTTCTTAGGGTATTAGGGAAAGCATGACTATAAAGCTCATTTTTGTGGAATACAGAGATAAGCTGCTTCCAGCCCCCACCCTGTAGATGGTGGTTTATGCCAGGAGATTTTCAGGCTCATGTTCCGTCCAGACATCAGGATGTGTTGTTTGTTCAGTAATCATCTCTGAGCTCCTATATCTGGAGATCTCTGTCCAGTTTTTGTTTTCTAATTCTGCTGTTTAAATATTCAAATTGATCCGTCACATCCCTGCTTGGCTTGCATTGATGCATCTGACTTTTCAGGATGTTTTCCAAATGACGCACTGATGTTTTTTGTAACAGTAAAATACTGTGATCCAGAAGCTCTGGAGATAGGGGCAGAACCTGAAATTTTTTGTGCTTGCTGTAATAAAAAGAGATTTTTAATGCATTAAGAGAGATCAGAGCCCAGAGATTATGCTAGGCAATTTGTATGAAAAGATTGACCTCTGAATTAGAAACTCATGCCTAAACAGTCCCCAAGTAGAGTGTTAGAGAGCAAAATTTCCTGAAAAGCTGCACCACAGGACTTACAGCTCCTCATCAGAGGCATTACTGCCTTTGACTCCATGATTTCTCTCCATGTGTGCCAACTGCTCAGTTAAGATTTCTTCTCAGCAACATTACTTCATCTTTGCTTTTGTGTGTGTGTGTGTGTGGTACAAGTGGTCTGAATGATGTTTTGGTTTTTTTTTTTTTTCCTTACCCCCACTAGTACTCAAAACCTGCCAGGGAGCCCTTCTAGTCTCTCCAGCCCCGGGAAGCATCACAGTACCTTAGCAGAGGGCGTCAGGCGGTTGGGAGACCTTGCCTGTGCCTAGAAGTTGGGTGCTGAGACTGGCACGTCGTCCCTATCTGAAACCAATGGAGGGGCTCCCAGCTGCACGTCAGCCACTTGAGAGGCTTCACTGTCTCTCTCTCAAGTGGATTTACTTTCAAAAGGAACATTATTTTTTTGGTCACTTTTAATTAAGGTGGCAAAAAAAGACTGGAAAGGTGCACTATAGCGGATGTTAACTGATTTATTCTGAATAGCAGGTGTTCCTTTGGGGAAAAAGGACTAGATATGGTTTTGTTTCTTTTTTTTTTTTTTTTTTTTTTTTTTTTTAAATTTGGGTGTTGTTTTCCCCCCAGCTCAGCAGATAGATGAGGCAAGGGCATGCCACAGAGATGAGATTTCCCAGATTGCCCAGAACGCCTTCATTTTCAGGCAAGTTCTTTCCCTGGGTGTGAAGCAAAACAGGAGTATCTCATGGCAGATGAAAATGAAAGTTAGGGAAAACTGTAGTGCTGAGAGAGTGACTCTTTTCCCTCTGGGAGAGATCAGCGAGCGTGCAGCCTGCGTGCTAGGTAGCATTTTCTGAAATCAAATCACCCGTGTTACTCGCCTCTCCTTCCTTCACTATTGGCCCGCACCGACTCGGTGGAAAACACGCCCGTCCATCTGCTGACAGAGTGCATTTGGCCAGCCCTGCTCGTGCCGCCGATCGGGAGGAACCTGCAGCCTTCACTCACAAGCCATATGCGGGCAGCGGCGAGGATTAGCTCTGCTCCTGGCCGGAAAGGTCCCAACGCGGTTCCCAGGCTGAACTCACCATATGTGGTTCACGTGATTGTCCTGAGGGTGACATGAAATGGAGAGTTCAGATTCGAGTGAAAGTTGGTTTGTGTTTCTTCACCCTGTTTAATGTAATGCAGATGCAGAGGAGAGCGTGAGGGCGTCTGTGCCGGGGGGAGATGCAACGGGCTGTAGAAAAGCCCCGTAGGTTCCACTAATTCCTTCTCCTTCCCCTGAATTTTCTGCTGTTTCCTGATGGGAGTTGCATGTGTGAAGGAACACCCTTGGACCACCTGTTAGGTGCCTTTGCCTTTTCAGTCACAGCCTTTGCCATCTCTTGAAGATAGCGCTTTTTTATTTGGAGAAAAGCCAAAAACTCGAACAATAGTTTTCTCCTTTGGAGAGGTGGGGAGAGCGCTCTGACGTGGCACATGAAGGAAGAAAGAAAATTAGAAAACCTGGATGGAGACCCCTCCAGGCTTCACTTTGTGTGAAGTATTGCAGAATTACAAATTGTTTTTAAAGGTAAAAGGTGCGTGTTCAGAGGCTGATTTAGTTTGTGGTTTACCTTAGTGCAAAGTAATGTTGGAAACAGCATCTTCCATCGAAGGCTCGTGTCACGTATAGGATGCCACTGCTACTGGGAAAGATTTCCAGACTAATGCTGTTAATTGCAAAAAGAAAGTTTAACCAGCTCCTGCAGTGACCCAGGAGGTTAGTAGAGCGGCCAGCTAAACAGCTGTAAGGAGAGTGGTCTTATGGGCTGAAGGGGCTAATGTACCCTAGGCAAAAATAGGAATATTTGGCTTATTTTGATCTTTGGATATGGGAGAACAGCTCGTTTATTTCTTAATTGACATATACATGTGGTATGTTAGAAGCAGGGACAGGAAAATAGCATTTTTTGTGTCTATGTTAATTTTGGAGTAATGCGACATATGGGAAAGATCGATAATTTTGACATCCAGATGTAAAGTATAAAATATTTTTGTCAAGGAAGGTGCAAAACTTGGTCTTGAAAAGCTTCAGTTTAACGGGGCTGGATCATCAACCACAGGAGACCTGCTGAGTAACTCGTCAAACACCACGTGAAGGATGGGCAGGTTTTGCGTTGCCTTTTGCCCTTGCTTTAGAGTCCCAGCAGAGCCTGTGGCACCGGTCAGCACTCATATGCATTCGGGTCCGTGGATTAGCACTGGACGATGAATTTCCTTTCTGTTGACCACTCCTGCGAAGGTAGATAGCTGACTTTAGCAATAACATTTGCCCAAATAACAACAGTGTCTTCCCTCAAAACCTCAACTGTCCTTGGGAGGTGGCAAGTCTGGACACAGACAAATTGCTCAGGGGTTAAAACACGACGTATTTGAGCGTGCGTTTTAAGGAACTCTTAAAACTTTAGCTGGGTAATGCTTGTTTCCTTCCAGAGCAAGGGCTTGCTATGTAAAAGTCAGTCCCTTTCGGTCTTCGTTAGTCTGCTGCATTTTTTCCACAGTTCGCCTAATCAGACTGTGACCCTCTCCCTGGTAGGATCCCATGGCTTTACACCGTGCAGAAACAGTGTTTTGGTGCCGATACGTGAAGAGACCGAGAACATATGGCATAAACATCAACCGATATTGTTTGCCATCCACACTTGCTGCGTGTAATGCAACAAGACCGGCTCCCGGCGGCCACGTGATCCGCCTTCCAGTCCTCCATTTGGGGTGGGGTGGGGTGGGTTTTTTTTCATTCCTAAAGTTGTGACTTTCTGGAAGGAAGCTTGTAAATAGTCGGGGCACAGAGAGCAGGTAGAATGTCAGCGAGATGTTACCGGGAGGCATGTGCACAACACTGACATCGGCTCCTGGCCGCGCTTCCTCCGCACCAGCTCGCTGCTCCCGGCAGCCCTATATGTTGCAAGAAGGTAGGATCGCGTCGTGTCACCCGCGTCCTCCCACCGTCACGCCAAAACGCCTGTCTCCCCCGTCTCCGGCAAGGAGGGACGCTTATCTGCCAAGCAGAGTATCTTAGCGATCTTTAAAATTTAATTTAAAATGTAATCTTTAAAATTTAATTTTAAAAGTACAGCTCTTGCTGTAGCGAAGGCAAAAGGCAGGCGTGCGCAGCTCTGGCGGTAACAGCTAACTGGGATTTCAAATTAACGATACGATCTGGTTTGTGCAATGGCTTCTTACAGTGCTTAGCTTTTTCCTAATACCAGGGCTTTTATACTTTTAAAAGACATTCCGTACTGAATTGTATCCTATTGATTTGCCATGGTTAACCACCCTGTAATAAGCCTCATAGTCTGTGTGAGTAGACACAAAGCAGAATTATATTAATGTTGTTTACAACCAGTGGGCACAGAATTATTTGCAAAACGTGAAAGAAGTCAAAATACCAAAATATTTCAAAGACGGTTGAGTTTGGAAATGCTTTCATTAGACTATGAATAGAGTTCCTTGGAATAAAAAAAAGAACCAGAGCAACATTATTAATTTTTTGGTTGTGTCTGTTTGTTTGTTTGATTTTAATAACTGATACTTTATACTGATACTTCAAGGCAGCTTTTTATTTTCAGAAGTAAACCCTGAGGAAGAAATAAGATAATTTAGAAGAAAATAATTATATATTTTTTTTTAAAAAACCAATAGCGGTCACAACTTTCTTAGAAATTTTTTCTCACAGAAAACTGAATCCGAGTCCCAGAGTGTTTTAAGATTAAAAGATACATCAGTACCACAAGGTGTAACATCTACCACGCAGGCCAGCAGAATGAATTACAACCTATTTTTCCTCAGTCATATAAGCTGCTCAGATGTACAGACTACACCTACTGGGCACAGTGCGTGAATTAGAGTAAAAATGGGCAAAACCAGCAAGCAGAAATTACCCGGCCATCGGCTCCTGGCCGCGCTTCCTCCGCACCAGCTCGCTGCTCCCGGCAGCCCTATATGTTGCAAGAAGGTAGGATCGCGTCGTGTCACCCGCGTCCTCCCACCGTCACGCCAAAACGCCTGTCTCCCCCGTCTCCGGCAAGGAGGGACGCTTATCTGCCAAGCAGAGTATCTTAGCGATCTTTAAAATTTAATTTAAAATGTAATCTTTAAAATTTAATTTTAAAAGTACAGCTCTTGCTGTAGCGAAGGCAAAAGGCAGGCGTGCGCAGCTCTGGCGGTAACAGCTAACTGGGATTTCAAATTAACGATACGATCTGGTTTGTGCAATGGCTTCTTACAGTGCTTAGCTTTTTCCTAATACCAGGGCTTTTATACTTTTAAAAGACATTCCGTACTGAATTGTATCCTATTGATTTGCCATGGTTAACCACCCTGTAATAAGCCTCATAGTCTGTGTGAGTAGACACAAAGCAGAATTATATTAATGTTGTTTACAACCAGTGGGCACAGAATTATTTGCAAAACGTGAAAGAAGTCAAAATACCAAAATATTTCAAAGACGGTTGAGTTTGGAAATGCTTTCATTAGACTATGAATAGAGTTCCTTGCAATAAAAAAAAGAACCAGAGCAACATTATTAATTTTTTGGTTGTGTCTGTTTGTTTGTTTGATTTTAATAACTGATACTTTATACTGATACTTCAAGGCAGCTTTTTATTTTCAGAAGTAAACCCTGAGGAAGAAATAAGATAATTTAGAAGAAAATAATTATATATTTTTTTTTAAAAAACCAATAGCGGTCACAACTTTCTTAGAAATTTTTTCTCACAGAAAACTGAATCCGAGTCCCAGAGTGTTTTAAGATTAAAAGATACATCAGTACCACAAGGTGTAACATCTACCACGCAGGCCAGCAGAATGAATTACAACCTATTTTTCCTCAGTCATATAAGCTGCTCAGATGTACAGACTACACCTACTGGGCACAGTGCGTGAATTAGAGTAAAAATGGGCAAAACCAGCAAGCAGAAATTGAGAGGAAATAAAGACCTGCTTAACCAAAAAGTAGTGGCCGGCCGTCTGCACTGACAGTTTGGTCAGCGGGACTGGGCGAATGCCCAGCTGAGTGCCGTGGACGGGTTAATATCTTCACACTTTTTCCTTCCTCGCAGCTGCCACATCCCGTGCTCTGAAACCTGATATTTTTCATCAAAAACTGATTCTTATTTTCTGTCTTAGTATGCTAATCAATTTTACCGTGCAGAGCTTGGAGCATATTAACTGTCAGTTACTCCTAATTAATACTGAGAGCAGACAAAAAGGGATAATAAAATAATTGACGTTATTTAATATAAAATGCCTCTCCCAATTTTGTTTCCTTTGTGGAAACCTCTTTTGGTCCCTGTTCAAGATTTAAGCGCTGGCCTGCTTTATGTTTTGTTTCACAAGGTTGATTGAATGGCAGTTTATTATTCAAGACAATAAATTAAACTTCTCAAAGTCGAAGAGTTCCAGCAGTTCTGGCACAGGCTGCTTTCTGCCAGAAGGAACACGCTCAGGTCTGATTCATACCAACTGTTGCCCTTTAACGTAAGAAAAATAAATAAAACCTCCTATATATCTTTCAAGATGAGCATTAAAATTTCTTTAGCATAAAAACTGGGATGCATTAAAGAAAAAAGTGAGCAACATTGATTGCAAAATAGATCATGAAAGCTTCTAGGCCACAGTATACTGCATATTACTTCCATGTAACAGTACGAATATTATGGCCTGGTATTAAAGGCTGATTTCAAAGAGATCATGAAAAGAGAGCAATCCTCTTTGATGTTTTATGTTTAAATTAAATATAACTGAAAAGGGATACAGGAGCGTTGCTCTTGCTACAGTGAAATCGGGAAAGGCTTTGCAGCACGCTTCAGTAACAGCTGAAGTGGATCTGGGCTTCTGAAAATTCATATATAATTTATGTACACCAATAATGCGTGCAGGTATGTAAACGATAGGAATTTATAACATTTATGTGCTTTTAAAATATACATAAAAGGAAAACTGAAAAATAGGCCTAAGTATATAGTTGTGTAATATCTATCTTAGGAAATCCGCAAGGGTTCTGGTTTTCTAATCTGAAATCTGATTAAAAAATAAGTGAAGCTTTCTTTTTTTTTTTAATTTATTACTTTAAATTGCCTGTTTTTAAATCTAAGCGGTAAAGAGAAAGGAAATCACATTGGTCACTTAGATAGGAGCTATTCCAGCGTTTCTCCTCGTGTACTCTTGTGCTGTGGCGGCTGGTAACGCGTAGCTTTTGAACAGCTTTTAGAGGAGGTGGTGATACTGCATTAATTATGAAATTATTCTGATGCTTCTGGGTGACTTCTAGTCACAAGCTGTCGCTTTTCGGCTGAGCTAGGGTACAACCAGAAGAGCCCAGGGTTGCCCGTGGTTGCTGTAGCCTGTGCCATTACCATTATGAATGCCTACTAGTGTCAGCACTTAGAGACTTAATTTACTAATATGCTTTTCCATTAAACTTTTCAAATATATCATTGGGACTAATATTTGAAAGTAAAAGGATAAAAAAGGTGAGTTTAGTATCTTTGGGTTTTTTCCGCAAATGGCAATCCTTTCTTTGAGCACAAAGGAAGCTACTTAGAAATAAAAATCCTTCATAGTACTTTACCCTTTCCACGGTTGTACGTCATTTTCCTGTCTACAAACTGGAGCTATTACCTTTGTAAAAGGGCTTTTATGTTGTCTTACATTACTGTGAAACAGAAATGGTTTATTCAAATGAGGAATTATCTGCCTACCACATTATGCTTCTCTGTACTTTCAACACGCAGACGAAAACGGCTGTGCCTCCAGGCAGTGTGAGATATCGATACACTCAAACTTATTATTTTTGTAGTGGTTAACAATACCAGGCGGAAAACACATTAGCAGAAGGTGCGCTGAGATATTACTGTAATATCTTTTCTAGTAAGTACTATATGCCAAGGATTATTTTTCAGTTGGGCGTTTGTGCTCGTGTAAAAAGCCTTTGAAGAGTTTCTGACTTGGTTTTTTTTAAAGGCTTTGTTTTCTTTTTTTTTCTTTTCCTTAAGTTATAATACGCTTTCCAGATGATTTCTCCCCAGATTTCATTTATTTTCAAGGGGAGGCTGGGAGCAGCTCTGTGAGCACCGAGCCACGCGGCAAAGCAGCGGACGCTGTCCCGGGTGCATGGGTGCCTTTGCTGGAGCTGCTCGCCTGTTCCCACCGGGGTTACCCCGCTCTAACGACGCTAATCCCTGTCCCAGCCTCTTTGCTCACCCTACGGATTTACATTACTGTCCACACCACCTTTTTCCCTGCTCTTCCCCTCCCAAAAGGCTTCCTGTGTCCCTCTGGGTCCGGGCAAGCCCCCGGGGCTGTGCCCTTCGCCGCCTGGGGCAGGAACAGGAGGGGGCTCCAGGCACAGCAGCACTGTCGTCTGCAGCGGGTCCGCAGCCGTCGGGGTGACGCGGTTATTGGGGACACCCAACACCCCTTCTTACAGGAGCCCTGCTGGGATGCTGGTTGGCAGGGATAGTCTGCCCTGGGGGCTTTGCTCCACGAAGGGTATTTGAAGCCTGGAGGACAGGAGCTGTTGCAGGAAGGGTGCTGGGGAGGCAGGCGCGGGCGGCGTGGCACGGCCAGCCCGCCGCGACATGTCCTGAAGGCACCGTGAAACTGTGCCACGATTTCTGTGCTACACGTTTTTTGCAACACGTTACGGAGGGTACTGATCTGGTGCTATAGCTATTTCTGACAGTTAAAATACATTTTTTTAAATAAATGTCTTTAACTTTGGTAAATAAAGAACTACATTTCCTTGGGCAACGGTGGCGGATAGATGGTTGCAGTATAGCTAAAGGAGTTTATATGGCTGCCTATTGAAATTTAAAATGTAGGCCAGTGTTCCTGTGTGCACATTAATCCTCAGAGACATCCTTGATGTACTGTGGCACATCATCAAAACCAAACAACATTTAAATGTCACAGAACAAAACAGTAACTTCCCCAACTTCTGAAAATTGTTACCTATACCCTTGGGTTTAGGTGGTATGTTTGCTAGACTATGTCCCTTACTTGAAAGGAGCTGAACTTTGTCTAATTAAATATTTATGGAGAGATGTGTTGCATGAGGGAAAGCAGAAATAAGCCCAGTATACAATCTGGAGTTCTACACCATATAAGAAACATATTTCCAGGGTAGAATGTATACTGAATAACAGGGAGAAGAATTGTGATGGGCAGTGCAGGCTTCGGTGGTACCTGGTTTTGTTGTTCTTGCGCTGTAAATGCAGATTGTTGTTTATGGCACTGGACTCAGCATTTGGAAGCGGCTAAATCAAATAGAACCATTGCTGTAAAGAAGCCGGAACGTATAGTTGATTTTAAAATAGCAATCCAGAACAACTCTCCCAGAACGCTAGAGCAAGAGTTGTTAATACAAAATCGGTCTCACCAGAGATGATCCGCCCTTTTATTCTTGCAACTGCAAATAGGACAGTTGCTTTTTTTTAGCAGAAGTGACTGGCCAGGGAGGAAAGATTGTGGTCTCTTCAGCACAAAGCAGAGCTGCAAGGTGGATAAGGTGTCCTTGAATTACTGGTGTTTGGAGAGAAAATGGAAACGTGCATCATGGTTCCCTTCCTGGGAACAGCCTTTAGTCTATCTGACACTTTCATCGATGACTTGGGTGAACAGAGCATCCATTAAATCTGCAGGTAGTGCCAAGAGGAGAGGATTTACAAGTGCTCTGGAGGCAGCACTGGAATCCAGAGTAATCCTGAGAAACCGGATCTGACATAACCTGGACGCAATATTGAGGAGGACAATATGAAATGGTGATATGAGAAATCCATTGGATGGTCAAAAGGAGAAAGGACTGAGCTAGCCTTTCCCGGGTGGGAAGTCAGACCAGCTGAGCTCCAGAGATCCCTCCCAGCTGACACCTGTAGGAAAGGAGGAAAGGAAGGGGTCTGGATAAACAGGGGGCCACGGGGCTGTGCTGTTATGAAGAAAAGCAATCACACTGGGCATTACAAATGAATGCAACACACAAAATGTGCAGAGAAAGGAGCTGGGGTGGTTGTAGAGACTGATAGCAGCTGCGGGAAGGTAAGAGAAATCCTTCT